GGTAGTAGCGCAAAATTGATCTAAGTGGCTAGATTTTCCTCAAGGTTTTAAACTAATCAGCCTAAATGAGGCTTTAATTCAATAACCGCTAATCCAATAAAGAATCATACCTTCCGTATATCTGTTTGTGGCAGAAAGCTACATACAGTGTGTAAGAAGATATTTTTTCTTTTGCAGTGCCTGTATCCCTCAGTCCCTGCAAACCATTGAATATTCTTGTTCGTGGTGCGATTATTGTCACTTGAAAATGCAGAAAAGCCTGCATAGGCTTTTATAAATAAACCCACGTGTATTATTGTTGCTGGGGTTAATAAATTGTTGTAACTCAACTAATCAGTGTCCAATTGGCTATGAAAACTTGATGTTGAACAAATGGCTCAAGTTTATGCTTGATGTTTTAGTCATTTTGAACGAAACTGCAACAATCTTGCCCCTTGTTTTGCTACTTACTTGCAGCTTTTGCGAAGCAAATGTCTACGTACACGCACGTCATTTCGTCGAGCTACCTGCAGAATCTCGTTGAGTGTTTCTTTGTTCTGATGAGGAAGAGCAGCAATCTTGTCCCACCCTCCACGTGATGAAATCCCGCACCTAATTCATTCTTAAATATGCACTTTGCTGTATTGCAATTAGCAAGAACGCAAACTTCTACATAAGATAAATGTAACCTTGGGCTGATAGCACTCATATTCCTTTTCAAATGTGAAGCATTTAAACCATGATTAGCGTGGAACACAAACTTATGTGTAGGTAAAGTAAATTTTTCTTCACAAATAACAGTAGTATTATAGTAATAATGTATATTATCATTAATAGTTCTGTACTGTCTTAACATAGCTGTTCAAAATTTGCAGATTTTTTTTCTTTTTTGAGAGGTTTCTACATAGTTGTGTAGAGTCCCACTTAATTTTCACTCCATTCCAAGATAATTGTCTTGTACTTTTAATCCTTACCATTTAGCACTAGTTTCTTCCTGTGTGTTCTAAGTTTTTTTATTTGATTTTTCTGAAAAGTGTCTTTATTGTATCGTTTATTGTGAATGTTTTATTTTTGCGTGCGCCTGCACTAAGACCTTATTGTTGTTCCAGGGCACGTTAAATAAATAATTGATTGATCAATTCATTGTATATCTGAAAATGAAATCTCAAAACCACCATATGATAATGAGAGACATCTTTTTACAAAGACACTGATAACTGTGGAAGTGAAGTAAGATAAGGATGAAGTAACTGACAAGTGAATATTATGAAACCGAGGGCTGAAAGCTCTCATATTCCTTTTCAAATGTGAAGCACTTTTTGTATACAGCACGTACTGAGAGCATCTACCTATCTATCTATCTATCTATCCATCTATCTATCTATCTATCTATCTATCTATCTATCTATCTATCTGTCTATCTATCTATCTATATATCTATACATCTATCTATCTATCTATCTATCTATCTATCTATCTATCTATCTATCTATCTATCTATCTATCTATCTATCTATCTAGCGGCCTACGTCTGGGTGTTCTCATAATCTCTTCTTAAATGAGGGTAAACCAATAAGAATGAAAGGATGAGATGGTTTGATGAATATGAATTGCTTTTCATGATATGAATGATGTGATGATGCCGTGGTGTACATCATCAAACCTTTCCGCCAAACGTGTGGCACATACTCGTGGGTGTGCATGTGCCCCGGGTATGCGGGTATCTGCAACAGGTGATGGACCGCTTAAATGTACCCAGAACCAGCCACAATAGAAATGAGCAATCTTAACACGTAGGCGTTATGAAAAAGCTAACATAGGTAGCGTTGACCTCTCTGGTCTGCAGAATAAATGCAATAGTTCCACCCGTAACCGAGCTCTAGCATTTAGCATGAAAATCAAGTATTCGACCAGAAAGTCATGCTCGGTCTTCGAATGGCTCTTCCAACTGACTATAGTGTTCATTAAACGTCAATTGTGATTGCGGTGGTGGCCATCCACTTTTATAAAAATTACACATGTACTTTTATAATACAGCTGCAAACTGTAGTTGAGCGTCATCCTCTGAAGCTGATTTCTGTAGCGGCGTCCAAAGCTATACCATCCGCGTGAGCACCAGCGCTTCATTTCAGCTTACCACTCGTGGGGATGCTAATATCTATGTTATTTTAGGCATCGCTACGCAACGTAAAGAAGAGGTTGTATAAAACAAATGCGGGTTGTTTAACGTGTGCCTATGTGTGCATTCGTACATATCTTTAGCGCCATGTACTTGAAAACGTTTCGCTCAATAAAGGAAATAGCAACATAGTCACATTTCATCAGCATGCTTCACTAAGCGTTGATTCCTAAATTGTGTGAGGTCTGCCAAATATTTAGCTGGAAAAGAAAGATGGTACATCGTATAGTGCACACCAAATAAAAACTATAGCTTTAGTATTGTGAACAATCACCCAAAAGATTTATTCCTCTCCGCATCTCTTCATAAAAAGTTTCGATGACAGTCCCCCAGCAATTATCTACAGTTTCATAAGAGGTAAACATGTCGTTTGATATTTCCGATGGAGGCAGAAATGTTGTAGGCCCGTGTACTCATATTTGGGTGCACGTTAACGAACCCCAGGTGGTCAAAATTTTCGGAGCCCTCTACTACGGCGTCTCTCAAAATCATATGGTGGTTTTGGGACGTTAAACCCCACAAATCTAACATGTCATTTTATTGGGACCAGGTGCAAAAATATTTGGTAGCAGATAGAATCAACACGCAGAAAAAGCAAACACCCTAGGAACATTTTCATAAGATTCTCAAGTCGCCTCTGTAGACCCGTGTGCTCAGATTGGAGTGCACGGAAAAGAACCCCAGGTGGTGGAAATTTCCGGAGCCCTCCGCTATGGTGTCTCTCATAATCATATGGTGATTTTGGGACGGTAAACCTCACATATAAATAATTCAATCGCAAGTCACCTCGCTGTGTCATTGCAGATGGTGCAATAAGAAGGCGTGGCTAAAGAATCCAAGGAGGCTATGCGAAAATAGGTGATTTTCACCACATATTTAAGAGCGAAAAATTTCATGGTGTTGGTAACATGTGTGAAAACACTATCGTTATCGAATCATCATAAACTAGCACACGCTGTCTTCAATCTTTCCACAGTCAACCGGTTTAAGCCATCTATAACTAGAGCACTTTTGTGCAATACTGCCCACGTCAGTATGAACCACAAAAATTGGGCATGTCCCACTACACTTTACATTCGGTGCGAGGGTCAGGCAACTACGAGCACGCGAAAAAGAGAAGAAACAAGAAAAGGGAGAAGAATAGAAGGAGAACAGCTTCAGAACAATCAAGAGCTCTAGCGACATTACAAACATTAGTTCCACCTCATGTGAAGTTCCTGAAGTTAGTCTGGGTCCCGGGACACTGTGGCATACGGTTGAATGAAATAGCCGATTCACTATCTCGAGCCACACTTGATGGCCCTGTGATCTCGGTACTACCAGAATCGGAACACATAGTGTCGATCAGATATAGAAAATGGGCTATTTATACGGATATTATGGAAAATATTACTAAATATACGGACTATCAGCACCTAACATACCCCTGGAAACCTCAGTGGAGTCAATCTAAAAAGTTAGAGGTTATTTTAACCAAATTTCGATGTCGTGTCCCTCCATTAAACTTTTACTTGCACAGAGCTGGTCTGGCGATATCCCCCCTGTGTCCATTCTGTGAAGAAACGGAAACAATAGAGCATTACTTTATAACATGTAAAAACTATTCATTAATTAGGAAAAGACTTTTAATTGTTCCGTTTCAAGCAGTAGGTTTAAATTTAACTGCAGATAATGTTCTAAGTTTCGGTGCCTTTAGCTTGGGACATTGCCACAGGAGCGTATTCGATGCTGTATGCAATTTCATTCGAGAATCAAAGCGCATGTCATAATAATGCCTGCTTAAATATATTTCTGAAGACACTTGTCTAATTTTGAATGAAATTTGCATATTCATTTGATTGTGACCGGGTGAGATAAGCTCGATTGTCTGGTCTACTCAAAATTTCTGTCTTCCACTGTAGTATTACCTCACCTTTTCTCTTCTTGATTCAATCTTCAATTATTTGTTTAGTTTAATATTCCTTTTTAGTTAATTATTATTTTCTATTACATCATTAGTTTTTTCATTAAGGATAAACCTTTTAATATATCTCATATAGGATACTTCTAGATTTCATGGCCAATCCCCCATAGTGGGTATGTGCCAGTGCGAAGGGGCAACAACAACAACAACAGAAGTGAAGCCATAGAAGGGGAAAGGGACTCAAAATACAGACGATCAAAAGGGATAAGTATATATAAAGATAGGGAGACAAAGAAAAGCGCGAAATATATATGAAGAAAATACAAGTAAAAAGAATAAGAAAAAGCCAGTCAGAAAAAAGGAAAACAAAAAAAATAGAAGCAAAAAGGCTGAGGGAAAGAGACGCAAAGCATTACAAAAACGCTAAGAAAGAAGCAGAGGCAAAGAGTACAAGATATAAAGAAAGAAGCAAAAACAGCGGGAGGCAGACACAAGAAAAGCGATGTACAAAAAAAGCAGACAAGACGAGAGATTGAAAAACATTGATGAAGGCAGAAAGAAAAAAAAAGAGAAAAAAACGTGAATAAGAGGAGAACAAAATAAAATTGAAAAACATGAAACGCTACCTAGCTGCGTTCTTTCTTCAATCTTTGCACGACTAGCAATGCGCTCGTGTCATTTTTGTGCTAAGATGGTCGAATTGCGAAGCTATTATTAATATTTCCTTCCTTTGTGTAGGCGGACAAGTGCAGCAGTCAGAAAATGCTCTACATGGATGGTTGGTGGGATTCTAGAGGAGTGGCTCAACCAACGACGGGGCATCGGCAATGAATTTTGCGGGAGTGCTATTAGCAAAAAGAGAATAATAATATAAGACATATAATAAAAAGGGAGAGAGGCACATGAGTGTAATTTTGTTCTCGTTTTTTGTGTGTGCAGCGTTCGATGTGCGTACAGATACACACCACCTGCTGAATGGCACCTGGATGGAGGTATGGCAGTTGTGCAACAACATGGGTGGCTACCTCTCCAGTAATGAACACGGATGTGAGTGATTGTCATGCAGGTTATTGCTATCGTTTCCCACACCTCTCTAAGGCTGAGCTTCTGATGGTCTTGATAAGGACAAAACCGTTTGATTGAAAAACACAGCCAAGTTTCTATAAGAAACTATAACACACGTGAACTATACACTGGTAAACAGTAAACAAAAATCGCTGTCATATATCTAAAGTGAATCATGTTAAAGAACCTTCCTCAGACTCCTGCGGGGCATTCTTTGGCGAGACCATTTCTGTTGTAATGGTTGTTAACGAGCCCGCGCACGATGTGTACGTCGCAGGGAGCTTTGTCGGGTACGTTACGCAGCCGGTGCTGCACAGTGTTGGCCACGTTGACCGGCACGTTAATCACTTGCCTCATCATGCCATACTGGACGTTGCCGGGAGTCGAATGCATAAGGCTCATAAATGACAGACGTGAAGCTATCAGGCGTTCTTCGACGCCGTTGCATTGTAGGCAAGTGAGGGGCCTTCAGTCAGGATATTGTAGGAACTTGTGGCGTGCTTCCGTGCCAACGAAGCGACGATCCTCGCCCTTCTTGCTTGCCTGACGATCTGACGATATTGTTTCTCTTCTCTCGGCTCGAAGGCAGCACGCATTCACGCGTGGCTAGACCAAACACCACCGACACGCTCCTCTTTTCCTCTCTCTTTCAAATACCTTTCTTTTTCCACTAACCGTTCTTAGTTTGGCGTTGTTGGAGTGCCCTCTTGAGAGAAAGATAGTCACCTCGGCACACTTTTCTCTTCACTTCCCTTTTTTCAAATCTACTTTTAGGAAGCGAGCGCGCGGGCAATCTAAATACGGCGAATGGATAGATGAACGCTATGAGCGTCCATGCTTTAACGGAGCGATGACGTACGAGTCACCAGGCTCTACAAAGAAAAACAAAAAGAAACCTTTGACTTTATCTTAGCCCAATGCCTTAACTCCTTCTAACAAATTTTTCCTATTATATATATATATATATATATATATATATATATATATATATATATATATATATATATTCATAGTGCTTGTTACTACCGCTTCAGGTGAATTTCCACTATTTCTGTCCTTTATGTCCAGATTCCTGCCCCGAATAGCTTAACCGTCTTTTACTTGCTTCTTTCGTAGACGTGTTCTGCTTTCTGTGGTTGTCCCTAAAACCCAAATTCACTTGTACGTTCGTACGCACACGTATACCTGTGTGTATATTGCCACATTCAATCTGCGCAAGTTCCATCATTTCCTTGGCTCGCCCACAGGATTTACATTATTGTTCTTCATTCAATTTCACTTTATAACTACGCGTTTTATGAACACGAGCTTTCTTCGAACAGTAAAGCACTTTACTTGAATTGTTATGAAACACCTTTATCCATATTGCCTTTTTGCCCTTTCGGTCGCTACTGAGAGCTGGCTTCTTTTCCATCACTGTCATCCAATAAAACCTGTCCGCCACTATGACTTTTTACTTATTGCTCCTTGCCTTCATATAGTCCACACTGCCAGCCACATATTTACTGGTGAGCCTTCTAGTTCCTCTTATACACTTTGTGTTCACGCTCTTCCTGTACAAATAACTGAACACCTTCTCTACCCACCTACTCTCCATTTTTCTAAGCATCTCTCCATATCTCATTCGGCTCGAAACTTCCCTTCCTTCCAGACTGTTCATTCCATATCCCCTTTTACAGCTCATTTGTGATGTTCCTATGAGCACCCAATCTGAGGCTGCCCACAGCCCTTTGATTTACATCCATTCCTGATAGCACCTCTGACTTCATGCAGCTCACTGAGCTCCCGAATGTAAATACAGAAACGATTATGCCCTTCCACAGACCTCGAAGCATTTTGTACTTATTGCATCGCCATAACAATCTGTGTTTCGGTATTGCAGCATTCGTCTTTCTCTTCACTGCCAATGTTTTATTTTCATTATACCTCCATATTTTCCCCATTTATTCATACTCCGAGGTACATATACACCATTGGTGGCGGTGCGCCATCAAGGGAGCATTGAGAATTTATGGAATCAGTGGAGAGGCGACCTTCAGCTCGACCACAGAAGTGTACAGGCAAGACTGGTGTACGCACCGCTCGCCTACAAAGGACAGGCCACGAGCAAAAGGAGGAAGCCCCTAATGTTCCCTGCACATCAAACTTGTAGCAACAAACAAAGCTTTTGCTCACTGACTTGAACAAAGCAGTGAAGTTCGATTACAGTTGAGCACGGTATTGGTGGCGTAACTTGTGCTCAGTCTCACGAGAATATCGAAGACTTAGTCGATGCATTCACAATTGAAATTAAGAAGTTAGGCTTGTTGAATGGACGTCGGATGGCCGGTTATAACGAGAGAACGGTCGTCGTGAGATGAAGCGGTGAGAAACCAGGAAATACATAGTCTGGCAGCTGGGCAGAGGTCCGGCTCGTAGCCGAAGTACTGGTGGTTGTTGCCAGCTGGCACTAAAGTACCAAGGGGTCAAGCAGCATTTGGTGTAAACTCGCTCAGGCCTTCTCGAACCGGAACGCGACGGTAGGAGGCACCGACCGCTCAAAGCCATAGAGGCTCCAGTACCAACCTCGACTGCCAATCTTTATCGTCAGGTGCGGCAACAATGTACTGCTCGTAACGTAATATTAAACTCTCCTGCTCTTCCTCAGATTAGGCTTTTAGTGACATTCGTGTCCACTCGTCTTTGTTCATGGAATACATTTGCACCTAAGTGTTGGCAAATAATTGGCACCACAGATGTGGCGTGATCGCTTGTCATGGGGCCACTTCTACGTGATATCCTTGTGCCTCGCGCACCAGTAGCACTGTTTTTCATCGTCATCGTATATCAGCAAGCTTCTATCCGCGCATGCACTCCTTGTAGGTCTTCTTTACAATGAAGCACCACTAGAACGCGCACCACACCCATCACAGTTATCCTGCCCACCTTTCTTTTCATACAATTCCATCCGATAACATCTGTCTTTTGACTCTCGCATACCATGCCACCCACGTCATTCACATATCAATTTATAACTTTATTTTTTGCTTTATAATGATTCATCTCTAGTTTCGCTCCTCCCATCTTTTGGACCATCGCCTCATGCAAACGTAGGTGAAAAAAGTATTCGATGAAAGGAAATCGTAGCGCTCATAACTAGCTGTATTGATCAACTTAGGATGTCTAAACGCACGCACACACACATACACACACAAACACACACACGCACATACATATATATATGTATATATATATATATGTGTGTGTGTGTGTGTGCGTGTGTGTGTGTGTTTGTGTATGCGTGTGTGTGTGTACAAGAAACTATTGGTCAGCTGCCATCTCGTAATAAGTTCACGTGCTACGTGACGCCATACTGGCTCATAAATAGTGTGCCACACTCGCCACCGTGGCTACAGGGGGCGCTCACTGACACTCCCATGTTTAAGTTTGAATATAAACCCAATAAAGTGGATGGGAGGATAGCAGCGGTGGTAGCTCATAGTAGAGCATCGAACGCGTTATTCGAAGGTCGCAGATTCGATTCCTGCTCACGGCAAATTATCTTTTCAACCACTTTTCTTTCTTCTCATTTACGTTATAATTGGGTCTTATACCTTCCCCTATACATTCCTTGGCAATATTGTCTGTTAGATCTGAATAATATTGTGTCAAAACACAGAAAAATGAGCCCTTAGGTATGAACATATGAGTAGAGAGCCTCTTGCTAGGAACAGTCCAGTTCAGGTCGCCGAAGCCGTTGGGTGAATGAGGTTTCCCTGCGCAAGCGACTGTTCACGTGAAGACAATCCACGTCGCGTCAGTTATCACTGTCACATGCATTTTTGTGGTTATTGTGTTTGGCCTTTATGAGCAACATATTGTTACGATACTGAGGGGACGCGTGCAAGAAGAGGAGAACGAAGTTGGCACGAGTGGTGATCGTTCGCCTGGGATCACCTCACCGGAGGGCACAGTATGTGTCCATTAACCAGCAGACCTCATTCTTCAACCACCAATGGCCTAAATTAAAGTGTCCTCAAGTAATATTTACTCCGAAACGTTTGGAGCCCTTAAGAGTAAACCTTTGGGAAACATTGATTGATATGTGGGGTTTAATGTCCCAAAACCACTATATGATTATGAGACGCCGTAGTGGAGGGCTCCAGAAATTTAGACCACCTGGGGTTCATTAACGTGCACCCAAATCTGAGCACACGGGCCTACACCATTTCCGCCTCCATCGGAAATGCAGCCGCCACAGCCGGGGTTCGAACCCGCGCCCTGCGGGTCAGCAGCCGAGTACCCTAGCCACTAGACCACCGCGGCGGGGCAACCTTTGGGAAACACTTGTGCTCAACACTGTAGATGCAAATAGGATAGACTTGGACGATATATATCCCAAGAATGCAAAAAATTTACCATATCAGCATACAAACGGCATTTTGAAACATCATTTGGCAAATCTAGAAACATCCATTGTGATAGCGACTGACGCTTTGGTTTATGAAGAGAAGGCTGGCGTGAAATCGTATTATCCTCTCTAGATTGGGCTTTCTCAATTCTATTATCCGACTTCACACCTATTTACCAATCTGAACTACTGGCAAGAGTCCTTGCATTGCGTAAAGTGCCGCAAGATCTATCAGCGGGGATTGTTCTAACAGACTGTCTCTCGGTCTGTACTGCCTTAAGCTCACCGAATTTTTTGCGTACCTTAGAAACTTTCTACTCGCTCATTCCTACACATGTGCGACTCGTCCGACTAGTTAGGGTACCAGGCCATAGAGGTTTAGCTCTTAATGAGCATGCAGATGCACTAGCTGTATCTTCCTTTGGTTGTCCTGTCTTACCTATTTTGCCTACTTCGGAATATATCCCAGCAGCATGCTTTGAAAAACACACAACGGCCAATAACTTTAAAAAATCCCCTTCGGAAGGGGTCCTCCCTTCATCAGGAGATGAGTATAACTCATCCCCTTCGGAAGGGAGGACCCCTCTCGAAACTGTTGGGAAATAAATATACTTATCCTTGTTGACAACACTCCCGTTCTGCCATATCCCATACCTTCACGAAGACTAACTGGCCCCTGGCCCATTGAATTATTACTTCGAATATATATATATATATATATATATATATATATATATATATATATATATATAGTCCAGTAGATCCTCCGTGAGCGGTCACAACGTGGTTTATTTGGACGTTTCGGCCTAGAGTCTGGCCTTCATCAGGATTAAGATACAGTTTGTTGGTGCTCAGCTTTATACAATCTCAAATCGGAGGGCAAGGAAAGAGGAAAAAAGACATTAGAGAAAAAAAGGAAAAAAGAAAAAAAGAAAAAGGAGAAAAAAGAAAAAAGAGAAGAAGAAAAGAAAAATAATATACGGTTGACGCCCCTCGGGTGCCCCCCTCCACTTCACCCTTCATCTCTCTCCCCCCTCTCCCCTTCACCTTTCTGATGTCAGCGGTCTGTGTATGTTTCCGTTCACTAACGCATTCCTCCCGATCAGACGGCCCCTCCTGGCACTGGCGGTTCGGTGTGGGGCAAAAAAGAGCTTTTCAGGAAGTCCTAAGCCTTTAACTACTCGGGGTCCCGTAAACAATTCGTCGTAGAAGGAGGGGTGCCGCGTATTGTGGCGGAGGCTGGTAAGCGGGCATTTTAGGAAGTTCTAAGCCTTTAACAACTCCACGCCCTGTCATCATTTCGTCGTAAAAAAAAGGGTGCTCCGTATTGCGGTAGGCTGTGCAAGCGGGTGCAATGCGAATTCCTTGCCCGCTTCTGGATTACGCGTGTTGTGGGGGCCTCCCGGCTGTGCACAGGGGCCTCCCGGCTGTGCACGGGACGCCCCTGATCGGGAGGAATGCGTTAGTGAACGGAAACATACACAGACCGCTGACATCAGAAAGGTGAAGGGGAGAGGGGGGAGAGAGATGAAGGGTGAAGTGGAGGGGGGCACCCGAGGGGCGTCAACCGTATATTATTTTTCTCTTCTTTCTTCTCGCGTAGGAATTTCAAACGGGCAAGGCCTCCCAAAAATTGGCCTATAGGCTCATTAGAGTGTCCTCCCCCACGGCAATCTTTAGTAAAAGGCGAAAGATTGAAATTCTTACGCGACACCGACTTGAACAAGCGACTGTAACAGCAATGTTACACACCGCGAAAGACAAGACTGGACTATGACTGAGTGTGCACGCATGTGCTGCCGAATGTGCTGTTTCTATCTTCCCTCTCTGCTCTCTTTCATCTCCCCCATCCCTCTCCCATGCGCAGGGTAGCAAACCGGCTGCCTATAAGCTGGTTAACCTCCTTGCCTTTCTTTTCCCTCTAGTTTGCTTCCTTCCTTCTTCTTCTTCTCTTTTTTCTTCTTTTTCTTTCCTTTTTCTTTTTTTCTTTGTTTCCTTTTTTTCTTTAATGTCTCTTTTTTCTCTTTCCTTGACCTCCGATTTCAGATTGTATAAAGCTGAGCACCAACAAACTGTATCTTTAATCCTGATGAAGGCCAGACTCTAGGCCGAAACGTCGAAATAAACCACGTTGTGACCGCTCACGGAGGATCTACTGGACTATATGCAACGCTACGGCCACTCAACCACCATGCCTATATATGTATATATATATCCTACTGATATAAGGATCGTACTGCTTTTATAAGGGCATCAACAAAAAAGTATTATTATTTTGTGACCAACCCGGAGCAGGTGACAGGAAGAGTGGAACCATCCTTGCACAAGGTAATGCCAAGTTTTCATTAGATTTGATGTACGCTCGGGCTTTTTGAGAAACATTTTAATGCCGAAACATTCTTGAAAAGCCAATCTTGAACGAATCTTCACTGTGACATTCAGCCTTGAAAGGCTAAAAAAACAATGGTCCAGGTATGAAATAGTTGATGTTGTGAAATTTGTATGCGTAAACTGAAGAACTTTTGCTTCCAAACGGCAAATATTGCCCACGTACATTTTCCATTCAGAGCTGATTTCGCAGTTAGTACCAAGATAGCTTCACGTTCAGACTTGCTTGTGCTTCGCACTCGACATGATGAAACGTGCTTGTTCGTCATTCACTACTTCTTTATGCCTCAGAATAAATAAGCAGTTAGTGAAAGAATGAGCATTGATGGCCTCCAATGTGCGACAGGGCCTGCGTTAGCTTGTCGCGCAGGTGGTGTTATTCTATGCATGGGTCAACTGGACTTATTTATGATGTAGTAAACAAGTTGTTCTGAACAAATTGATTTTCATTGAAAAAAGCAAAAAAGTTGTACAATGGTTGTTAACAACACTGCCGATTGTGCCCCTGCTACCAAAAATAGAGCATGTAGTGGGAGCTTATGTCCTCATATTTGGTAGTATTCGAAGTTATGTTCCACTGAAGAGATTGTAAGAAAAAGAAAATTAGCTCTAGTCTTTGTAAATTGTGCACTCTACCTTCCAGAGGGAAATTTGTACAAATGAATTCAAGCAAAACAAAAGAAAGAAACTTTTAAAACTTTGTTTTCAATTTCTAGACCCAACATTATTTCGAACTAACACGCAACAAAGCCAAGAAATGTGTAAAGAATGCTATTTATATATTTATGATGAAAATGGGGAGAAACTAAAGTGAACAAAGAGATAACTCACCACTGGCGGGAGCACACCATCAATCAACGAACAACTCATCCTGGGCTCGATCAAGTCGTCTTTTTGACAAGTTATTTGTTCACCTACTTCCTTCACATCCATATCACAATTGCTACGTATAACATCTCCTTCATCATTTAAATTTTTGCACCGTTAAGTGCAAATAAAGATACTTATAACACACTTCCTCCATCCAGGCCACCCAAGAATTCAAAATTAGAAGGCTGCTTATTATACGATAGTCAAAGCGGCCTGTTTCGGAAGGTGTAAAAGAGTATGGCATGAAGCTGCTCATCACCAATTAATCTCGTTACTCTTCTCCTGCATCATCTCTAACAGCGGACTATAAAAAGAAAAGAACAGTCATTATCTGTTTTTAAATAGAAGTATCATCCACTCATTCTATTTCATCCATCAACTCATTCATTACTGTAATTTCTCGTGTATGACCCACCCCTCCATTTATCTATCTCACACTTGCAGCAACACGCCGCAGAATATTAAACATTAGAAATATGACCCGGAGTACAGTCGTAAATCTGCGTTTTTTATATTATCGTGAAGCCACCCACGCACTGAAATTTGCCAGTGAACTGCACACCGTCTTACCTATAAATTATATTTTGAGCAAGTCGTATCTGAGAAAATGTTGCACTTCTTGGCGAAGCTTGAATCAGCGACCTTTTTCTGTCTCTTGTATTTCACTTTTCTCAGAGTATTCAAAAAATTTCAGCAAGCCCAGTTTTTCAGAATGAACAAAGTGATTCTTTTTTCAGATTGGACTGGCATTGTCAAAAAGCATGGTCATCTTCAGTCTGACAGCACCGGGCAACCTGACGTTCTTGAAGCATTACAAGTGTAGGTGTTGAAATCATTCGTACCGAATATTTACAAACATTGAATACCACTGTTTAAGAGGAAAAACAAAAAAGTAATTGTAAAAGAACCAACAAATAGGTCTTTGATTTTTTTGAAGGCAAGGTTACAAAACAGTTTGAGGATGCGTACGTGTAATATAAAAATTGTAATTCTTTACCCATCTCCCAATGAAAAGAGTCATTTCATATCGTCATACTTTCTAACGCAATAAAAATTTGAAGTGTTCTGATTGATGATCAACTATTCAGGTTAATTGATGCCACCAAACTGCAGGGAGTCCTTTCCCAAGTTCATGCGAGTGCACGCATACTATACAATCAATACCGGTTTATTGCGCATTTCTACTAGCCTTTGCTGACTTAAAGTTAGTGTAATTTATGTCAGAAGAAGGCAGAAACGCACAAGAAGTTCCATAAACTTACATAGGTGACCACAATAACATTATATCTACGTGAGAACCATTATAGTATAGGAGGTCTTCCTGTTATTTACAGCTGTGGGTATGCGCATCACATAAATATTACATTCACGAGCACTATTTTTAGGACAAGTATGGCAATCAGGATTTTCAGAGTAGTAGTAATGTGCATCTAGAATCAACAAAAACAAGAACGTAATCATTCCAGAGATGTCTGTCTGGTTGCATGGATAAACTAGGAAAACTATTTTTACTCCAACCAATGCAAAGTCCGTGAAAATACGTAAAAACCCGTCGTTTCAGAACTGCCTTGGTTTCTACCTCAGGAGGGACAGTATAGACGTTGTGACGGTTTCTTGAAGGCACTAGTGGGGCGTTTAATGGACCCCTATTTTGCTGCGGAGCATAGTCCGCGCGTATAGAGCAAGGGAAGGGTTAAAAAAGAACGCTTCATCTTTTGGGCCGTTCGCTCGATGTGCCACGTCTTGCGTAGTAACCTTCTCTTATTTCGCACATTTCGCACATTTCTTACTGTATTACTTCATGGGGCAACACATACACCACTCATCTTACTTCAGTTCAGACAATTCAAAACCAAGCGATAAGAATTCTCACATCAAGCCCATATCTCTCTAACGCTAAGTCACTACTTCACGAAAACAATATATTAACTGTATCTGAGCTAGTTAAATATAACCTTGGTATTTACATGTATAGAACTATAAATAACCAACTTCCACATTTCACTACCATTCTCTCAAATAACAATGTCACTAGGTTTGCCCTTAACAATAACTTTCTACTGCCAAAAGTTCGCACCAATTATGGCAAACAAACCATTCATTTTTCCGGAATTTCTTTTTGGAATAGTCTGCCTTTCGACATTAAAGTATGTCGATCCCTGAAGGAAATTAAATCGAAGTTAAAAAATCATATCATGTCAACTAACTAGCCTGTTTGATTCCTGTTCATTGTGAGTTGTGTTCTGTAATCATTTGTCATTGAAGTTAGCACGTTATTCTTACTTTTTGTTTCTGTGATATTACAAGGGTATATTCTTACTTTATTTGTTTCAATTGCATTTTACTGTAGCTCTGTCTCCCTGCTATGTACATCACAATCATTATCAATTCTACATTGTACAAGAGGTCCCCTTGCAGTCTCTGACTATGGGACCTCTTTCTGTATATCATGCACATGTATTCTTCTTCATTTAACACAATAAAATCTTCTGTTCTGTTCTGTGTTCTCCCAGTTAGTCTCGCTGTCTGAGATGGTTGTTTTTTTTAAGTATATCTGATGCTCAAACGTCTCGAAATGCTGAGCGACGGCGCTGCACTTTTCGTTCAGCTTACAGACGTCGTTGGCGTGTTGCCCTAAACGTTCCGGTAGGTTTTTCTCTCGGCAATGTACAAAGAAGAACACTCGGCGCGTGGCATTTTGTAAACGACAGCAGGGCTCCTGTTAATTTTTGGCTGGTCTTTCTGGTGGTGGAGGGGATTGTCAGCGTGCATGAAGGGGCGTGCCCGATGCACACCCATTCTTTTTTGAAGTTACGGGACAACATCTCTCTAATTCTTTGAACGTGTGGCGCTGGTACGCGGTTTGGAGTGCTGCCATTCATTGCTGATTGGGATCTTCGTAGTCTGTATTGCTCTTCGTTGCGAGTGATTAATCGTATGAAATTTCGCAGGGGCCCGTCTTTTTGAGGCGCGCAAATACACGCGCCTCTTTTTTTCTGCACTTTGTACGATGAAGCATATGTTCTTGGCTCTCTGGAGTCACATGATCACAAAGAAGGCCTTGTGGCTGGAAGAATGAGAAAATGAAGAGTGTCGTTTACAAAATCTGGTGCACCGAGTGCCCTGCTGCATATATGAGCGAAACAAAAAAAAACCTACCGGAATGACTCCCAAAGACGTCCCAAAGCTGAACGAAATGCGCAGCACCGTCACCGAGCGCCAGCGTTTGTGAGACGTTTGACCACCACATAAACTTCATTGCAACATAAATTATGTTGACACTATCACCTGTATATTGCCGCTGGCGTCGGCATCGTGGTTGCCGTCAGTCACCGTATATGTATACGTAGCTATATAAATGAAAATGCAAGAAAAAATAAATAAAAGAAGACTTCGGTGCTTGGTGCCGACCACGGGACCTCTAAATTTTGCGCGTGAGGCGTTAACCACTAAGCCACGAAGGAGCACCTCCTCAAATCAAATGTTCAAATCGGAAGCTATTCATATCTACCCCTTACCACTGGTGACTGGAATCTTGGGGGGGGGGGAGGTACTATCGTGTTTACATCACTACCAAGAAGTTGGCGCAATGAGCGTGCATCGCCACATCGTGAGGACGTGGCGGCGTGCGCTCTCATCTCCCGCGCGTACTTTGCCTCACGGAGAGGGAGCAGGCTGGACGTTAGCGCGTGCGCTTATCTCGTGGTGGGGACCATCGTACGTCTTGGTATCTTATCTTGGGTTTTAATTGGAACGATTCTGTTGTAGTTACCGGGCGCACCGGGCGCATCTCTGCAGTCGTAGCAGAGTCTCCGTTTGCAAAAAAGACGTGCTTTTCAGACGCAGCGTAGACCCAGCTGAGACGCTTATTCGCGTTCATCTCTACCTGTGTATACGTTTCGTGCATCATTTGTTCGTGAGAACCGCAGGGTGCGGTTTCATCTGCTTCCCATTCTGCGTGTGACCTTCGAATTTGTTTCTATTGCGTTCATCGCGTCGCTTTTGCAGCAAATCTGTGACTTTCCAAGAAACGACCATCCGGGAAAGGAAGCCTAACTGCAAGAGATGGCTACTACTCGAGTCATGGCACATACCGCGAACGGCCCAAAACATCTACCATTCTCTCGAAACTGTTCCCTCGTTGTATGTACACGGACTACGCTCCGCGGCAAATTGGGGGGTAAATAACCACCCCGCAAGTGCCTTCAAGACAACGTCGCAACCTCGCCACTGTTCCTGTGAAAGAGGAACAAATTCAATTCCAAATGTCGGGTTCCCATGTATTTATTAGTACTTTACTTTAGATCGAGTTAAATATATATTTTTCCAACAAAAACTAGAACCATTTTCAGCATGAAAGTTTGTCCCGGATTGCATCAGGTAATGTAAGCCATTAGTATTCTTCGTCAAAAAAAAAGCATGAAATAATGCTACTTTGGACGCAATAGTTTTTTTTTTGAAAAAAAATTGCTTGGCAGAATGAGGTTACTTTGTCAGAGCTTCTAAATAGCTGATTCCACATTTTTATATTTATATGAATCAGAGCACTCAGAAGAGATGATCTTTGGGCCTGTAAGGCGTGGGTGCTGATTGACTTGCCGAGGACTGCATTTCGTCTCTTAGAGTAAACTGTACGGGCTTCTGCTTTGAGGAGATTTCAGGAAAGCTCTTCTGAGAGGGTGTGAATGTGAAACATCTTCACTCTAATTACGTTGCTTTTCGTTGTAAAGCGTGGATGTGAAAGCAATTTTCTGCCTCATTTGTGTTATTGAAGTAATATGATGTTGTTAAAAGCTACCATGCATCAATATTTATGTGGGTATCAGCAGTTCTGCACTTCTGTTACCAATATTTTTGACTAAAAGATGTGTCTCCAGTGCAATGTATTCTAAAAAATCCTACTTCTGTGTATACAGTTTTATTTTTTTAGTATAATTGAACGACATAGCATAATCAACATGGCAGGCATCAGAAACAGGATAAGACACGATAAATGTCATTTCTTGATTAACATTTTGAAAGGCCTACGTCTTATTTGTGCATTTTATTTATAAAATATACTAAGTATGTTATCGTAAATTGTCGCCCTGCAGGTCTGAGTTGCTGGTACCAATAGTCCTGCCCATGGTTTCAGCGGAAGACGTTTGCTTCTATGTCAGCCCAGCCCAGTCCCAAAATCAATCTGCTGAAGGTGCTATCATGGAATCCTCGTGCTCCGACACACGGCAAGGGAAATGCGAGTTTACGCACCGCTCTTTTTTTCGTGGTATGTACTAATAAGCGATTACTTGTTTCGCTTTTGATCTTGTAGAATTTTTAAACAGGTGTGTAACACTTGAAAAGCAAATTTTGCTGAGAAGCCATGACCCACTGTACATGCGTTGCTCTTTGTGGTAAGGCTTTAGAGCCTTCCTTCCATTGAATAAGCTTCCTAAAATGAAATTTTTTTGTTAGATAGGTTTGAGGATGAGCACAAGGTGCAATGCGAAGTAATCGGGACATTCTTTAAAATCACGGTGCTCTAACAAGAAACCTAATTAGGTTCCTAAGCCTCAGCAAGGTGATGGTGAGCATTGTCGTGATAATCAGCTGTGCAACCTTAAACAAACCTCGCAATAAGTGTGCAAAGTGGAAATATTTGTGCTGATTTGTCTCTTCGATAATCCTATATACGTCAATACTTCTGGCCTGACATTACAGGCAGATATTGTTGGCTTTACAACAGAGGCTATGGGCAATGCGAAAATAAAATTTGGGTTTGCATTTGGATTTATGTTAGCGTGAAACTTGACGTTACTGGTGACGTGGGTTAGAAGCTCACGACTTGCGAACAGTATGATGTAGATCGAGCTATTCCACGAATAAATCAAATATTGGCGTTGTCACAGAAAATTTGCGGGACGCATACACTGACTCCCATGATCACACGCATTTTCACCTGAACGTATTTGTTATATTTCGCTCTGTTGTAATGGATGCTTACACACGTGGCTTTTAAAGAGTGCAGCTCTAAATGTTGAGGTAAAACCTGGGGTGTGCGCGATAAATTCTGCGCGCTGTTGCATATTAGTCGCGCCCATGGACGCCGAGAGACTCGTAAGCGAAGGAAGCGAGCAGTTACCAGCAATCAAACGCACATTGCAGGATCTTCGATTACTAGTTAACGTCGGCACACAAGCATCTATCCCCACTTCACAGAATCAACGAGTTTCGTCATACACTGAGAGACACTGCCATTGGTTATTACACGACTTGGACACACCGAAATAGCAGTGGCATGCGCAACACATTCAGTGGAACGCTGCAGGAACTCAAGCGAGAAGCGTTTGCTAAAATGGCACACACAAACTGTTTACGTCACCTGTCTTTTCCCGCAGTTCCGAGCAGTGGCACGTACTTGGAGAACTCATAGAAAACTATTGCGTGTACTTTAAATGCAAAGCAAAAACTTTTCCTACATTCGAGGGAGTTGACAAGGCGAGCTCGAGCAGAATTCGTGAATAGAGAAATCAGTGATGTCTTTTTAGTAATGCCATAAGATAACCTGACGTATGAATGCTTGCTCCCCAAGCAATGACAAGCCGTGCCTGTTCACCAAGCTTTCGTGGACTAACTTCTGTCGTCTGCTACGATGAGGGCCTGCAGCGGACCCGCTCCCTTGGATACGCGACTAATTCCAGGTTAAGCAGCCACATCATCGCACAAAATTCATATCAACGGTGAATTAACTCATACTGTCCCTCAAACTGAAATGGCAGTTGATTGTCAATGGGGCACTAGCCAGGCAAAGCCCTGCTTATACTTGAAAATCGTTTGCTTTCGGTCACGTTTTCAATGCCGTTTCAAATTACGGCAACATTTTCTTCTTGACTCCTTGCTTATAGGACTTAATGCGTTCCAATTCGGTTGCGTCGCAGTGACAATCTACAGGGCTGGACTTGCTCGTGATTTTAACAATAATCCCGCACATCTCTATTACTTTCTGGTTTGTTACAGTATTGCCTGTTCCGTATTGGTCAAAGTTGTATATAGCGACAGTACTTTTGACAAAGCGTGGCTATTGTGCGTTTAAGCTAACTGACCAGACAACTTCTCGGACCAAACAATATGCCTAAATAGGAGCTAATATGAAACTGAAATGGCTCGTTTACTTCATTCCCAATAGTGTGAAGATGAAGTGCTCCTGTGGACCTATCTGGTGGTAATAGTGGCCAATGGCGCATACGTAATCAATATAAGTTGGACATTGAATTCGAATAATAAAGTTCAACCTAACGACATAAGAAAAATGTTGGCCATACATCGCGCCACTCTTAACATTATCTACCTTTAATGTAGCTCTTTTTTTCCAACCATATTCACAATCCAAGCAACCATAAGCTTTTACACACATACTTTTGTGTTACTAATACCCATTAGGCCTCTTCGAATACAGCGTCTCCAAGCTTGTTGGCCGACTGCGAGTATCAATATTCGTCTTTCGTACAAGTGACAAAACACACAAAACTGATCGTGCCGAAATAAAGCAAAACGCGCCTGCGATCAGCACGTAGCCTTACAAGACTGAATGGCTCGTAATGATGCACACCACTCAAACACTGCGCGACTGCCACATTTCCTAAACGCTGCTATGACTCATCCGGAGAACTTTTGAGATTTGCTTGTTGGCACAATACTTGTGCGCACAATTTGACTTCGTAAATCCACCTATAAGTCTTTTTCAGGGAGTTCAGAAAATACAAAAACTGCATCACGCATTATTGCGGTTGTCGATGCGATAGACTAGCCTCTTGCGACACTTAGTACACTTCACGATGCTGTTTATAGGCACAATGTTTTTAACGGGAAACCTTTTTCTAAACTAAGCTTTTTTATTACGGCCTGAGTACGTTAGGTATGTGCTTAGCGTTGGTGTCATGATGTTATTCATTTTGATTTTTACTAACATTATTCCATTTCTCAGCAACTGTTTTTGTTCATCCCTCTTTCTCTTCATCGTTTTCTGGCACTCACTGAGCACTTGTTCATAGGTTAAATCGATTCTGATCAGCATTACTACGACACGCTTCAAAGTGACAGCTGAATTCACATATAGCAAGCCGCAGAACTCTTGCTGCTAGTTTTGCAGACGACGGCTTTGTAATCAACCTGTTCTTTGTGACTCACATTTGATGCAAGTGACAATGCTACACTGTGTAGTACTTTACCGGCAAGTAAAAGTCTTACAATGACATATAATCCTCAAATTGTGCTGCAGTGAAAGGGATCTTGTGCAGAAAACTGTGTCATGCTTCACGCCGAAACCACCTGTGCGCTGTTTGGAGATGAAAACTGGTGGCCTCCTTTTTACCTCTTGACATAAGTCCCTGCACTACGTTTGGAAGATGGTCCAAACATGCTGCTGATCAACGGTCAATGCATCTGAGAACGGAAAAAGAACAACACACAAAAAATGACAAACACAACGAGAAGTTAGCACTGTCTCTGTGTGTTAGTCCCTCGCTACTTCTGCAGTAATTTTCACAATCGCAAATAACCAACTAGCCCGAGTCAACGACATTGTAAAGCTTGTGTGAACGAATCAGCTAAATATTCTCGCTCTGCATGTTGGAGAGAAATTGTAGGTTTGTGTAAAAAACAGCCGAAAATTGCTCTCTTTCTCGTCCGCAAACTATGCTAATAACTGGGCTGTCTACAAAATACGTGGCACTGACACAATCACTTCCTGTGTTCAACCCTGCAAAAGTATCCTTAGTAATTTCTGTGCAGCATAATAACCTCAATCAATATATTGCAGGAACGTCCGTATCTTCAAAAACACCGAAAAAGTATCTCTTCATTCACTTGAGACCGCGATCGATAGTCATCTGGTAAATATTAGTTTTATTCCTAACGCACACGTGAGGTGGCGATTTGCATGTTACGTGCAAGATTTACAAGCAGAACGAGCCTTAATCGGTTGCTGCTGTTATAGGGAGTCTTCGAAGAGAGTAGTTTATGATGCATATCATCTACAACTGCCTTACTGCGCTTACCACTATATAAAAGCTCTCTTCTATGTTCCTCTTCAATGGGGCAGAATACCTTAGCATACGAATTTATAGTTAGCTAAAAATATATTCCGGATTTCCTCACTACTCCCGTTTTTTACTACTTTACTATGCAGGACAAAGTCTAAGGTACCAACGTAGCTGCGCCAGACTAAGGCATGACAGTTGCGTGATGATTCCAGTGCTGCGCCATGCACGTATGAGAGCCCGTTTCAAAGAAATGCTGGTGTCGTTGTCGTGGCGGCGTCTTGAGTTCTGAGCGGAAAAAAAAATTGGGGTAGACGCAAATAAGGATAGAATTATCAGTAATTTTCGCTGTGGCTTGCGTTACCACGCAGCTTAAAGAGAAGCGATGGAGACTAGTGCTTGTAAAGCTAGTAATATGTCTGCGTGTTTGGTGCTTGTGTGCGTGCGTACGAACATGCGCTTGTCTGTGTGTGTGCTCATGTGTGTTTACGCGTGCATGTGTTTGTATGTGTGCGTGCGTTTGAGAGCTTGTGTGCGTTCATGTGGATATCGACTTCATGCATTTCAACTCCTAAGCCAAGGATACACATTCCCATATTTTTATCGCAGTAGTGCAATGTAGTCTTGAAAACGCACAGCATGCATGGCGAAGTTGTGGCACTTGCTGTCGTAGTACACATCTCAACTGGAATAAGTGGGCAACCCGTTAAAAACAGCACAAAACGTATTCAAGGCCATGGCATGTGTTGACGTAACTTCCTGTTCCCTTTGCTCTAACGCCCTCGTACCGCTCCCTCACCTATGTAGGCTTTGGCCGGCTATTCAGGGTTGAGAAAACACCTAGCGCCCGCGATACATAACGGAGAATATAGACGTGCTTTTGGCCGGCTATTCAGGGTTGAGAAAACACCCAGCGCCTGCGATACACAACGTGGAACTATAGACGTATATAGATCTTTCAAAAACTTTACGCTACGAAAACCATGAGGCCACTGCGTGTAGTGGTAAGGTGTGTGTGCTTGGAAATAACTCGGAAAGGAAGCTACTATTAGTTGGAAAGATGCAATGTCTATTTAAAGTTATGATGGTTGGTTTAGGAGTGTTTATTGCTGCTTGAATTTCTTTCTTTACTATATTTAGGAATCTTGGTACAAAGTTGAGATGGTAAACACTTGACGACCACTTGTCGTTACTGCTGAAGGTTACTGAGTTTAAATGCGTCAATTCAGCATATGTGAATATTCAATGTCTAATATTTTGTGCTGCGATTTGTTCCTCTCAGTGTCTGCATTTTTTTCTCTTTCGAGACCTGTATCCTTGTCCAAAAGGAGGGTGGTTGGACTTCTCGAGCAGGAATACCTGTTTGTGGCTCAGCTTATCTCCATTGAATTACACGCAAGCCGCTGAGGAGTGTCGTGCTAATAAAGGACACTTGGCTGTGATCGATAACTCTTCATTGTCCTACACTCTCACACTACTGCTCACTCCAAGCAATGGTAAGTAGACCGCACATGTACCTGCTATTTCGTGTCCGTAGTGCAAAAAAAACTTTTAGATGAGGAAGTATTACAAATAACAGTTGAGAAGACGTGTCAGGTCTCCAACGATACACAAAAAGAAGAGTTCTTTATTAGGACTTTGTAATTGTTTGAGAGCTCGAATACAAATAGGTTATTTTAGAGTTTAGTGCGTCTTTCGACATATACTCGACGTATGTTCTCGTTAAAACACTTCTTTGAATTTTTTGAACATTTTACACTAAAGGCAAGGTGGAAAAAGTGGTCGATAGTTATTTAAATGAGTATAAATTTTCACCGTTGTGCATTCCCAGTTTTATGGTAAAACATCATTTGTACGCCCTCCTTTTAAACCTACCAGACATAATTAATAATTGCCATTACTCTCCAACAAAACCTGTGTCATGGCTAATCTATTACCTAATATGCACTACTTGTGTTATTTAATGTCATTATTTTTGAAGAAGCAGTGTTCAAAAGGACACAAAACAGGCACACGTAAAAAGACGCATAAACGAGTGCTGCTGGGTTGGGTGGTGTAAATTCCAACAAAAATAATAAAAAGTGCGAATTCATTTTATTTCATTATTTACAAATACATCAATGCAGAAACTTTCATTTGGGTACAAGGCATGTGCTACATACGTGTTGCCTTGTTGCCAACATTGAAAACATAATTTAAACATAATTAAATGCTTAGGATGTTATTTTGCCCAAACCTGCGGCGCAAAACGATACAGTGTCAAAAAAATATTTCTTTCAGTTTTTTAGAGTACAGACACTTGAAGTTCACTTTATTGGTCCTCACGATGTCCTAAGGAGCCAAGTCTTTCGATTCTACACATTGAATCTAGAAAAAACACGGTGTTGTGTGAGTGATAACTCCCTGCAGATCCAACACCGCTATTCATTATGTGTGCTAATGTTGTCTTTTCTGAAAGCTCGCACTTTATTAAATTATTCGACATTCGGAGGCTAGATATTTTTTGACGTATTTTCATCGCCTCTTTTCAGCGTTAGGATGCAGAACAGCTCAGGTGTTTTACGGCTTTTAACTTCGTCCGCTGCGATTTGTGAAGCAACGAATTTAAGATATGCTAAATTCAATTTTACAGCACCTGTTTTTTCAATTAGAGTACTGGATAAAGTTCTTTAAAACTCAATCCAAAAACGTGTTTGTGAACGACTTGATTTGGAAATTTACCCTTCGTGCGACACCTACATTTAGGCTTCACGTGAGGCCTCACAGAATTCATCATTTTCACTGGTATAGCGCACCACGACAAGGACACACACAAAGGAGAGATTCACACACACACAGCGCTAACTTGCAACTAATGTTTTATTTGCGATCACACACGCTGTTTATACAACAGGAGACGGATAAAACATGGATAATGTCACGTCAAGAATACAGCACAGCCCATGCACGTGTCATCACTGATAGCGACAATCTACACTAGCTCGTGAAAGCGGAAATTCCAGATACTTCTTTTCTTTAGATGATAATGCTAAGGAAGCCACACTCACACATTTTTCTTTCATTTTGTCTATTTCAAAAGGTTCAATAATTTCACGTGTGGTTCTGTCACGGGCCTTAAAGAGTATACGGGTGTTTTGGAACATAGGGACGCAACCGCACCTCTGACAGTGAAGGGCCAAATGACCACATACAGCTCTTTCTACATTGTACTTGTGCTCCTTTAGTCTTTCATTCACACACCTTCCAGATTGGCCTATGTATTCGCAACCGCAAGTCAAAGGAGTGCTATAGACAACACCACAACAACAATTCACAAATTTCTCCCGGTGCTTAATCTTACAAACCTGTTTCCCGCTACTCTCTGCATTGACCTTTTTGCACATTCCTTGCAACTTTTCGGGAGCAGAAAACACTACATCCGCACCCGCCTTCCTTGCTATCCTTCGCAAGTTATGCGAAATGGCATGCATGTAAGGCACTACAGCAACCTTGCCTGCCTTAGTGGCGGTTGCCTGGTCTTTGCCGTTTGCCCTTCCTTTCCTGTTTATAGATTCGGCGACAGCGGTCAACAAGTGCGAGGGGTAGCCAGAGTTTAATAAACGTTTTGCTTGAGCCCACAAGCTCTCATCAAGCTTGTGGTGGCACGACTTGATCAGTGAATTCTGAAAACAGGATTTTATCACCGCACGCTTTACCAATTTCGAATGAGTGGACGTGAACGGTAGAACCGGTTTATTCCCTCGTGGTTCATAGCTCCAGCATACTCTTGCTGGTGAAAAATACAGCCCGAGGTCAAGAAATTTTATGAAATTGTCATGTGGTACTTCATGCGTCAGCACCAAGGGAGATAACACTGTCAATAACATGGTTAGAGTTTCAGTGACAACTGCGTCAAAATTGTTATGAGCATTATTGGAAACGATCAGATAGTCATCTACATATCTAAAAACAGCAATAACGTCACTGTGCTTCATACGTTCGTCAAGGACCTTGTTACGTTTTGCTAAAAACAGGTCGCTCAGGTACGGGGCTATGCAGGAACCAATACATATCCCGTTCTTTTGTTTTACAGTGTTTCCATTCCATGTCGCATAGGTCGAGTTAAGATAAAAGTAAAGGAGCTCTAAAAACTGATCACTCGACAGATCGGCAGTATTTTGAAAATCAACCGCTCCTACTCTGTCTTTACCTTCCGATACACACGCCATCAACTCTGCCTGAGGGAGGGTGTAATAAAGGTCCTTAACGTTGATCGGAAAAGCTAAAAGGTCTGCGTTTTCCTTGCCTGCAAGAAAGTCTAGTACTTGTTCCGACTGTTTCAGCAAAAGGGGTCGTCAAGAGATATCAACTTCAAATGTTTTTGTAGAAATAACGCGATGCACTTTTGCCAGGATTCATTCTCTGAGATGATCACTCTGAAAGGGCATTCAACTTTATGCGTCTTTGCCGTGAAAAAGATATCAAGATCCACTTTTTTTGTCTTCTCAATTGATCTAACCAGGCCTTCAAGATTAAAGCTTTTGCATAGCTTCTTCGCGGCAGTTCGCACTTTTTGTAACGAAATATTGTTATGAGTATCAAAAACAGAATTGACGGCCTCCGACGCCTTCGCTCGATACAGTGACTTACGCATAACCGCAAAGCCACCGTCTTTATCGGCTGGTAGTAGCGCGAGCGAATTGTCCTTCAAGTGCCTAATGGTCTCCTGGATAGCATATCTTACACCCGTAGGACGAACACGCATGAGAACGTCGACACCTTCAGATACACACCTGTCAACGTCACCTTCAGGTACTTGTTTTGAGACATTCCGAACCATCCCTAGAAGTTCGGGGCTAGATTTTCGCGGCTCGACGGCGAACTTTGGTCCACACTTGAGTACCTGTCGCACTTTGTCGGGCAGGTTCACATCACCGATGACGTGAAGAGGATTCGATGGTGCGGGGGGCTTCTTTTGTACTTGCGTTCTCAGCCCCGGCAGAACTTGCCGCCAGAGAAATTCGGTTGTCCGTTCAGCTAGTAGCGAGTAATCGCGCCAGTCGTTGAAGCTTGAGCTTGGTCCCAGAATGAGCCTGAGATGATTTCTGTACATTCGAGTTTGCCTCTGCCATTCACAGAATTGCGACTACTTCTAGAGGGGTGGTTTGACGACAACATGATCTTGCACTGCATTAAAACCATTTCTTAAGGTGTTTACACGCAGATATATATCTTGTGCACTCCTTCATTCCTAAGAGTTGGAAATTTTAAAAATTGTGAATTCGCGCGGAAGCAAACCGAGAAAGTGTTTCCGTTCCCTCAATATTTGTGATGCCAGAATAGTGACCCATTCGTAGATATCTCTCATACGTAGGCAACGTCAGAAAAAATGTAGACGGAAAAAATACTCAGATGGCAAGTACATACGGCACTTCAAGCACCCCACTAGTGATGGATTGAGCTGGTGACCTGTTACATGCAACTAGATATGAAGCACTGATTTCACTCGCCAGCAAGTTTGGCGTTCCTGTAATATTATGGTGTCGACTTTTTGTCAGTAATAGCATATCACTGAATAGAAGTGTACCGCGGGCGCATTGAAAAACGCCAGACAAGGGGCTTGTCTGCTTGTCCAAGAGGGCGAAACCTTTTGGCGTGCTTTGGCAAAAATAGCTGAAGAAAAGGCAACGTAGTAGATACTGAAGGTTATTGCTTATGTCTTTAGCGGTGGTGCATATCATGAGATGCAACTACCCGAAACCCGCATATATATGGCGCAGTGAAAGCAGCGCACTTTAGTTCATTCCCAATTGCCTCAATATGTAAAGAGAAGTTGACAAAAGTAGCAACGTTTGGCGTTTCTGACCTCTCTTCAGTTCCACGCAAGTACGACCGCTTTTGGATTGCACTTCAGAAGTCGTCGGGTGGTATCTACAAGTGGGAGACCGGTCAGCCGTTGCGTGATTTCGCCTGGCACCCCCGGACGAACTATAGCCACAGTGCAGGCACTCTCTTCATCGATCGATATTACCTTCAAGGGGGTATCTCCATGCGATATTCTCTCGAGGATCCAAGTCAGAAGCTTCCCTTTATATGCCAAGCTCCCCTGCGAACAGGTATGGTGGCTGTGCTTTTTTCACCGCGGCTCTATTTTTGCGCTAATTCCAGTGCTTCACTGTATTATTGAGCGTCAACGCACCTGTATGATGTCCGCTTTACGAAAATTGACCACTCCTAGCATTATGGCATTTTCAATGAAGGCGGAAATGTTGTAGGCCCGTGTGCTCCTATTTTGGTGCACATTAAAGAACTGCAGGTGGTCGAAATTTCCAAAGCCCTCCACTACGACGTCTCTCATAATGATATGGTGATTTTAAGACGTCAAACTTCACGTATCAATCAACTCCTAACAATATCTGCTTACTCTGGCAAAGCACCAGCTGATGCTTTCTTATCGTGACATATTTAATCATACAACTTTCCGCGCTTCTCGTGCCACCAACTGTGTAACTTTAACGCATCACCTGCATCAGCGAAATGCGAGCATAAATACGCTGCTTCGTATCAATTAAATTCATTGTTTACTAGAACATTCGATGCTTCGCGTTGGCTGCTCCTATTATTTTGATTTGCATGTGCACATTGTTCCGTGTTACAGTCCGAAAGACTTTTAGGAATCACTTACCCTAAACGTTGTCCAATAAAGCAGGATTTCAATAGAGGTTACTAACTTGCCGGATGTTTCCATATGGTCTTTAGTTGAAAAAGTTTGTGTGCAATATGGTGTGTAAGTAAAAAATCTAAAGTGTATAAACAGACAGAAACTAGAGTAATTAATAGAGTAGAATAATATTATTCTGAGAGAATGTTGCTCTGACTGCTATATGGACCCTTGCACTAATCTCAAAGACAGGCCCTTGATGACATGTGGTTTCGTCCACCGATGTGCCCTAATATCATTGGTGATAAAAAAGAGTCTTAGAAAATATCCAGCAAATTTGCTACAAATCCCTTGCTATATTTAGCAAAATATATTCAAGTAAATCGTCTTTTGAGCTACGTAAAGTTTATGAGAGATTTTGTTGAACAGCACGCACAATCATTTTAACTGAAGAACTAGAGAAAAACTTTCCTTAACCTTAAAAAAAATTTTGAAAACGTGCTGTCAGTTTTGACGTTAAAAGCTGATAAACGAGGTGACCGGAAGTTTATTCGGGGACAACTTTTGTAATTTTGAAACCATCTATCTGCAAAGAAGGGAAATGTTTTTCGAGCGCGCCTGTTTCTTGGTAAAGACAATCAAATGAATCTACGAAACTTCAAGTCAAGGAATCTTTAGAAGGCAATAATTGTTGTCTTTCCCTGAAGTGTGGTAATGCAAAGGCGCAAAATACTGAATGAATATCCACCCTTTCGTTCAGTGCCGTCGACAATTGCTCTAAGTTAAGAATACGAGTACTAAGGCAGGTTTGTAGGTTAGGCACCCTATTTCAAATAGATGATTAAACTTGTGCGCGTGTCCTAAACTCACCAGCGGTGGTGCGCTCACAGAAAAGGGTTAATCGGATTGACGGCGGCACGGCTTGGTTGGGAAGGGGGGGGGGGGGGTTGGGGTAGATTATATTTAGGATTCAGGAGTCGGTGGGGAGAGAAATTTTTTTTTCTTGTATTTTGAAAAAAGAACTCTTCCCCACTAGGGTGACGGAGTGAATATGTTACCGACATTTATTGCTATAATGAACTAAAGCTAGCATCTAACTATTTTTAACCTAATCTCATGAAATTTCAAAACGCTTGTGCATGGAAATTAGCCACTACTGGGAAAGAGGCACAAAACACAACACAAAGTCGTGAGCTGATAGCACGTAAAAGAGCACACGAGGTGTTTGATGATGCCGGCCGAGATAGCGCGCACGCTAGTTCTTGCGACCACACTCATATGGTCAATGCTAACAGTTGCAGCTCGATCCGCGCAGCTCCTCTACCACAGCAATTTTCTTACTCCTCCCTGGAGTGAAATACGGAGAGGGGGCTTCCTCTCAGGTTGACGAGCAATCTACGACAGTCATCTGTTATGAATTGGGGATTGATGATATCCCACCGCTGCCACCACTGTTATGAATTTGCAGTGTCCCGATAGTAGCGGTTTCCAAGAGCAGCGAGCAGCCAAACGAACGTCGATGAAGCCTTCACCCAAGGCAGAGTATGGAGGCTAATATCTTGTATAACAAAATAGGTAGCAACGTTTAGAGCTGATGCTTACCGTTTGTACAGAGCCGGCCAGCACGACGACACTGGCTGGGGCAAAATCCTCAAGTATCAAGCCGGCACGGCCTTAAATAACGTTTTGGTCTTTTCTCTGAGACCAGTTACCGGCGCTTGGTGGAGAAGGCGAAGCCTTCCTTGTAACTGCACGTGACTCGGCTGAGGAGGTCCAGCTTTCCCTGGAACTGTACGTGGCTCGCCGCCGTCTGCGATGCCTTCGTCGGAACTGCAAGTAGCTCGGCGTAAGAGGCAAAGCCTTTGCCGAAACTGCACGTGGCTCGGTAGCGTCTGTATTAAAGGTGGCGCTGGGAGAGTGGAGCGTTCGCCGGAACTGCGCTCATCTCGTGGGAAGAAGCACTCCCGAACGATGACCATGTCTCTGGCCTAACAGCAACCCCGCCGCCAGAAAACTCAGCCGGAGTTTTGAACCGTCTAGCGTGGCTTTGAAGGAGAATTACTGGTTGACTGTTGAGAACTGTAGCTGTTCCGCTCTCTACGCCCGTGGTGACTTTCAGAGCCCTGACGAGGATCACTAGAACGACGGAGTCAAGCACTAAGCCAAACCACTCTGGCCAAACCGAGCGCCTTCCAAGTGCTGATCAAATCGCCAGACAAACAGAAACGTAAATATTTCCTCGAGATTGATTGAGCTAATAAATAGCATCATGAGCAACGTATCTAAGGAGGAATACAGAATGCGGACACACCTTTAGCTAAGTGTCAGTGCATGACAATGCTAAACCCTAACACATTTTTTGAGCGATTCTCAATTGTGAAATGGGCAGATTGTGGATGATGGAATAGTCTAAGAATAACTAAACTTGGCCCCGAAACTAGTATTTAGAATACAAAGCACCTCTCATTCACGCACATTGGCGTCGCTTGCAAGCATCAGACCGCTAAACATAACAAAGTTAGTCCAGCAACAAGCTCTCATTCAGTGCGCGCCGCCAATGATCATCACGTCAAAAGAAAGCACGCTTGAAAAAAACAATAAATTAAGACTGAAAGTCATACTTGCGTGCATGATACAAAAGAAAGCTACAATACTTGAAGGTATTTTAAACAGGGGCTTTTACGCAGCCTTTCGAAAATTTTACTGTTAACTTTCGAAATGTTAGTAAAATAATGGAACAAAAATCTCTATGTATGCTTCTTTGACAACAAAGAAAGTAAAACCTACAAAAATAATAACGCATTCCTTGCTAAACGGCTGACCACAAAACTAGAAAAAGATTTCTTAAAGCTGAATACAAAATTCAATCTTTGTAAAGGAAAGTTGCCACTCTTTCAGACGAATTCTGGGGAGTCGAGCACTGCATAGCTTTTCAGGGTTCTGGTTTTGACAAAGGGATGACGAACCAACCTGTTCACTGAGATCAGTAGCAGCGACTTTTGACACTCAGCCGCTGAACTCGAACAAAGGGGCATTTACACTCTATCGCTTACCCCGCTGGTTCGACCAGTGTTCCTTTCGCCACGGTGGGTAACAACCGCTTGTGTTACAGCTCAAGCGCTCGCAAGGTTTGCTCACTTGCTTGCATCAACGTGGCAGTGAAAAGGATGAGACCAGGCGGTGATCTCGGCTTTCAAATTTGCCTGAAATTTGGTCTATCTTGACTCGCTTCCCGCATAATCTTGATCTCAGTGATTGTCTGAGCTTCAAACATTTCCTAGAGAGCCCTTTAGCGATCTTGCGCCTAGCCCTGAACCTGGCGTCTCGAATGAAAACGTCATGGCACCTAACAGTGGCTTTAGCGCACTTGGCTCTTGTCTTTTCTGCGTTACGCCTTCGCCGACGCGTTCTTTTGACGGAATGGTTAAGAATGCTGGCTGCTTCGACACAATTAATTTCAAGTTCACTGCCTTTGACAGGCACTGCCAAAACTCTCGACTGGTTAGCTAGCTTTTCCTCGGCCCCTTTGCTAGCCGTCTCTGCTTGTGACAGAACTGAATTTCCAACGTCTTTAAAGCCGATCTACTCACCTGAAGGTGTCTCTTCAGTTCGTAAGTGTTCTCTCTCCCTTTCCAGGATAGCTCCTGTTCCTAGGTCTTCGTAAACGGCCTGCTGCTCTCCTTGACGCGATTGATCCCGATCACGTTCTTGGTGAAGCGGCCCAGTCTCTAGCGCTTTACGATGCGCCTCTGAATTCCGAGGTAACCGCTGGGCGTCCGCTTCTAACTCCTCGTGATGCTCCTCAGTGTCCGGCTCTGTCCGACGCACTTCGGTGTCCTGCACCTTGTGACGGGCCTCAATATCAGATGCCTAGCGACTTTTTTCAGCGTTCCGCTTTCTCTGACGCACTCCACCGGCTTGCGCATAATGACGGGCCTCAGCCTCTTGAACTCCCTGTCTTTTCTTTTCATCTAACGCTTTTCGGTGAGCCTCATTCTGAAGCGCCACGTGACAGGCCTCTATCGCATTACGGCGCGTGTCCTCCTCCAGCTCTCTACGACACGCCTCATCCTCTCGCTTTTTTCGGTGGGCATCTACTTCTAGCACCTTACGACACGCTTCTGTGCTGTGTCTATTGCTCCCACTTTCCCAGTCTCCAGACTTGAAAAAAAAGTATCTTATCAAAGCATATCTAGCACGACTAAGTTATCCTGCTTTATCAGCCGATAAGCAATGTGAAATATGTGCGATGTCACGTGGCAACAACGTGACTAGTCTCTCCACCCAAAAGTCACGCCTAGCACCAACATTACTGCAAACAACTTCAAAATCATCAAAAAAATGCGCGATGTTTTCGCTTGTCTGAAAGTTGTGGAACTGGCGTTTCGCTTGCTGCCACTTAAGCGTTTGAATTTTACAATCAAGCTCTCTCATTTCGAGTGCATGCTCTCTCCT